ATCTTAAGAGACCCTTGATTGTTTAACAAATTCTCTTTATCCTTGGGAGAATGATGAGAATATGCATACTGATGTAAGTGAGTAAAAAAGAGAAACATGGATTTTGTGCCAAAGTCATAACTTTTCATTTGATTTCATTACATAATCAATTTCGGACTTTCTCTCAGACTATCCAGGAACAAGATAGCTGCATATATGTGATCTTTTTTGACTGGGCTCAGTTGTTTGAAGGCTGATTAGCGCTAACCCATGGATAAAATATAATATGGGTTTCTTTTTTCCTTTGTTCAAAAGCCTATCTGGGATAATTTTACCTAAGTATTCTTTGTGGGGCATCCAATTATCAGATTGTAAACGAAAAGAATCCTACTAAATTTCCTTTTAAGGCTTTTTAGATCTGAAAAAAAACTTCACAATAACCCTGGGGTTATCTTAACCCAGCTTTGAACAACTCAGCCCTAAGTTTTTGACTGACAGTACTTACCCATGCTTATGGTTAATGAAGCTGTTCTGTTTTCTGCATAAAGCATTGTTATTGTTAACGTCGAATCTACACCAGCTGGTGTTTTCTGACCCATGGCAGATATACTTGTAGGTTCTTGACCACCAAATATCATATCAACAATATTCAAACAATATATTCCTACGTCCAGAAGTGCACCTCCACCCATGGCAGGGTCTTGTAAGCGTTCTACATGATCTGCGCTTATTCCAAAAGAAACCATAGCAACTCGAATCTCTCCGAGAATGTTTGAGTCTACCAGGTTCTTAACTTCCGCATAAAGTGGAAAAAATCTTGTCCATAGTGCCTGGAAAAATAAATTTTTGTGGGTTATAATAAGCATCACAGGGGTACCATCACAGTTGCCATAATTAATAACCAAAGAAGGCTTTTGGCTTTTAGTGGAGCGTCCAAGCTTGCAATCCCTTGATCCCCGATCAGTAAACAACTAATGATCTTGCTGATTCATTTGAATTAAACCACGTGGAAATTTATAGTCATTTTTAGAGAAAACATTTTATTAGAAAACCCTGATGTTGGATGATCATCAGCGAAACTGACTCATACTTCTAGCTGTAAATAATTTTATCAGAAATATATAATTTTTTCACAATTTTCGATGGCTGTCGGAGGGAAAAAGACATTCCCCATCCATGGCTGCGTCACCCCAATCCTCCTGTGACTCACCTCCATAATGAAAAGTCCTTTCACCTTCGCCAGATCAAACAATTCCTTGGTGTTCTTAAGATTCAGGGTAATGGGTTTTTCACAAAGGACATGCTTTCCGTGACTAAGTGCCAGTTTACAAAGCGGTGCATGCTCTGGATGGATAGTACCGACATAAACAACCTCCACATCTTCGTCTTCCGCGAGTTCCTTGTAAGAACCGTATGCTTTTGCGATTTTATGTCTCACTGCAAATTCAGTTGCTCTCTCTAGGGAACGAGAGGATACTGCAACTACTGTGTGTTCGATTTCTGGTAATGTTTTCAATGCCACCATGAAATCGTGAGCAATTCGACTAGCGCCCATTATGCCCCACCGCGTACTGTTGGAAGCCATTTTGCTATGTCACGCAACTGTCACACGGTTCACACCATTACGTAACAGTTAGGGTTCGCGAAAGTTCCTAAATGTATGTGCGTTTTAATGAGTATTTATTTTCATATAATAGGCTATGTAATATCTTTTCTATCTAATCTTTTATATTTTGCACTTCTGAATTTTTTTTTTTCTGGAGCTCTTTGACACACATTTGATAACTTTTGAGTGACATGAAACGCACCCATGCATGATTTAATTGATAATATCTTAATATTTTAATATAATATCAAAAATATATCACATGACAATAATACCATTATTACCCTTGGTATTGTTATGGCTGTTAGCAATATCTTTTTAAAATTCATTCAACAAAAATTTTGTAACTTTTGCGCAACAAATAGCGATCCATTGATTCTTTTGGCCCAATTCTGTTTCCCTTTAACAATTGGTTCATACGTCAGCGTGCGTTCATTGAGATACGAAGCACTTGGGAAGTTTTGAGAGCACTCAAGAAGCTAGAGTTGCTCTCGGCTACGCCTCGAGCAACTCTTACTTATCTTTCGTGCTCTCCAAACTTCCCGCGTGCTTCATATCTCGATGAACGCACAGCTGACGTATGAACCAATCGTTTTATAACATTTTCAACCCGATGGAAAATTTTTCTTCGCGAGGGATTTCTTTGAATAATTTTCGTGTAAAAACCATAGAAACGCTCCGTCCCGATTGTATCGACTTTGTTGTCACGTATATAAAGATCAGTATCAGACAAAGTTTCGGGAAAATGGTACGTACCTCCTCGAAATTAAGTAATGATTTATTATCGATTATTCAGTGAAAACTGTTCCCAAGAACTTTCTACACATCTTCTCATATTTATCAAGTGAGTCAATGGGTGCGCCTTTTACTTTGCCAAGATCGTCCCAATTTCTCATCTTGATCAAAGCCTCAAAATGTTTCAGCTCCTCAAACTTCTGAGCTTCCTCTGCTTTCATTGGTCCTCCTTGATAGATCAGCGTGAGTTTACTTGCCTCAGACAGCTGATGAACAGAATATGGAGATAATCCTTTAAATACAAGGCGGAGGTTGACTTTTCCGCAGCACCACCGTTTGGTCTAGTCACACAACGCGCTCTCTCCCCCACCAGGGAGGGGAGAGAGGGCTTATTGCTTGACGAAACAAAACTACGGCAGCAGAGACTAGGTCGTAAATGGACTACATGCCGTGCAGTCTAAAATTTTTGCAGAATTTCCGCTGGAAGGATCTTTTAAAGTTATTTTTGGGTTTTTTAATGGAAAAATTGTTTCAACTTGAGACCGTTTTCTGTTCAGGAGCGTAGAATTTCTAAGGGTCGACGACCGAACGATTTTAGGGCATGCACAAGTTCGGAATATTTGCCCATTAAGAACCCGTAAATAATTCTTAAAGTCGCTTAGCATTTCGAAATAAACATTGAACATACTCAATAAGTTTATAGGAAATTTTTGCAAGAATTCGATCAATATTTCTGACTGCCAAGCATGGTCTAAAATAGACCATCTGATTTTGTACCTCAGAGTGATAATGTGGGTATTTGTAGACGAGATATCTTTTGGCGTCAACATGACCCCGAACAAAACTTGTCACACTGTCTGGGAATCCGAGATCTTTCAGAAACTGTTCCCCGACGATTTCGTGAGCTTGAGTTCCAACGTCTCCCATGCAAGGAAGAGCTTTGTGGAAGCCGATCAGATGACCAATATCGTGAAGGAAAACCCCTAACACTACCTCGTCCGAATACCCTTCCTTTTCGGCAAGCATGGCACACTGAATCATATGTTCTTTTTGAGATACTGGTTCACCGATGTAGTCTTGATCTCCGTATTTTCTATACAGATCGAAGACTTCTTTGGTAACGACTTCCGCTCGTACTGCAGCCATGTTGCAATGGAGGTTAGTAGGTAAGTTATCTGGGGTTGAAAGAAAAACATTAGCCATCACGTGACTTCGTTTCGAAGGCGAGCGACTGGTGACGATCTGCTCTATCTGATTATCCGGCTAAAATGGACCTCAAGGATGAAGTTAGAAGTTTGGATCCTTACATGCGACGGAGAGTTCGATTTGTGACGATATTTTGCGGAGTCTGGTAAGTCCGTTTTATGACGTATATATGGAAGAAACTTCCCCATTTATAAGTGGAAGCAAACGCTTTTCTTATTGCCATCCTTACAGACTATGACTTTTTACAGTTCGGCAAATTCATCCAAATTCTAAAATTCCTATAGTTTTAATTTTAATATCAAGAGTTGAATCCTATTTTCGTCAACTTTTGGCGTATGAGTTTTCATCTGGTGTAAGTAATTTGCGATTTTTCAGTCGAATGCTACTGTAATTTTAAAAGTAAATCATCTTTTTAGAAATTGGTGTACGTAATTGTTTTCTATGGTGTCGCCACAAAGCGAATAGACGAAAACACTTAGCATTGATTGCTTTTTTGTTGGCTTGAATTGATATGGGAATGACTTCAGTTGACCCTGGAGTTCTCAGCATCTGGCCACCCCCTCTAGCTAAATCACGCTCGTGGGTATCACTCAAGCATATACACAGGCTTAGAGCTCTCAAGTTGTTTTGCTGCCAAAGAGTGAGATTTTTGCCCGTGAAGCTGTCAATATTGTGATGCCGCGGGTTTCATACCTCTGGGGGTGGGGACAGGGATAGGAAGTTTAGCTAAGAGGTGTTTTCCTCTATTCTGAGCAATAGTGGAGAGAGTACATCTTACTGGTCTGCTGTCACATACCAGTGTAACAGTAGCCAGCAGTAGAATTTCCACTCTTAGAAAGAATTCAAAGCAATTTCAAAGGGAACAAGGAGTATATTGTATCAAGAAAGATAATTGATTTTTATAAGCACTTTACTAAAGTAACAGTTTGTTATCTCAAAATCAACAGTTTAAGTCATAAACCTGAGATATGTGTGAAATAACTGTGCATAAGAGCATTACATAGAAAATTGTTTGCATGAGTCTCCTGCTCAATACATGAGGCTTGAGATCTCTGCAGTCTGACAGGTTTGTTGACTTACATTAACCCTTTAACTCCTAAGAGTGATTAACATGTAACTTCTCCCAATAATATCTATATGTTATTCAGCAAACAGGTAATGAGAATACTCAAACTTATCAGTTTAAAGATATTATCTTGGTCTAACAATAAATTATTGTAACCAATTTAGAAAGAAATGTGTAGAAGCAAGAGGGGAGAATTAACAATTTGATCTTGCAAGCTAAAGGGTTAATTTTATGGTGGATAAGGAGAGATTGCAAGTGGATCCCTTCCAGGAGTGAAATATTTGATTTAATACAAATCTGAGCAGCCAGTGTGAAACTTACCATGTATCAGTCCTGAATTTATTAGCAAGAACATAAATCTTGTCTTAGCAGCACTGACTGAATCCTCTTTGTCCCTTGAGGGACACTTGGGTATGGTGTTAACCCAATGAAGCTGCAATGAAAAATTCAATTCTGGCCATACCATCTTCCTACTAAAATCTCCTTTGGTGGATTGATAAAGATTATATCACTCAAAAAATGATTTTAATTGTTCTCTTGGGGAAAAAAGGTTATTTATAGCAAGTGCAGTAGATGTATGATGTGAACCAAGTAGGCAGATAAATTGAATTATGCTTGCATAGTAAGCAGGGTATATTGCAAAGCAATGCACCCTTCTAGAGGGGTCAGGGGTCACGCTTACCCAGATATATGAAAATTTGAAACCCTCAGTGGCATCATTTCCAGCATTTTGGGGCATATTTAAGTAATTTTTTTTAGCCAGATATTAATGTCAGAATCAGTTCAAAAATACTTATTTTCTATCTGTCATAACAATTCAGAGTGTAGCCTGTGCAAAATGGTCTGACAACCGGCAGAAAATATACTGCTGACCAGCTTCTAATGACAAACCTGATAATCTATAGCTGCATTAACTCCTTAACCCCCTAAGAGTTACTAGCATCTAATTTCTCCTTACAATATCACCTCTGAATCACACATTAAGGTGATGAGAATTTCAAGGAAATGATACCCAACAAAATATGCTTTTGATCAGCACACAAATTCTCATTGTCAGCACCTTAGGATATGTATAAAGAACAGTATGGAGAATATGCATACTGATGTTAGGATGTTAAGAGTTAACTGATCCTTAATAGGCTTAATTTTATTACTAAAG